TTGGCGAGTCAGAAGGCTGACTCGACGAGTCAGCGCTGTTTAATGAAAACCCTAATTTTGGGGTTTGCCCCTATATAAGCCTCATTAAATGCTCTAGTAGCCTCCCTTAACATCATAAGAGACTGTGTACGGCCACAAAATCCCTGGTGAGTGAAGTGTGTGCATTTGAGAGCTTGACTTTGGGAATTTGGGAATGAATCCAAGCTTGGAGAGGAAGAATCAAGGGGAAAACACTAGATCTAGCATCTAGTTCGTCTTGGGCCTCAAATTGAGGTATGAATCTTTTACCTTAAGCCTATATTCTATTTGGGAGTTCATGACCAAACTTTGAGGAAATGGAAGCAAGCCTAGATCTAGACCTATCACAGGGGTATGGTTCCAGATCTGAACCTCACTAGGTCCCAAATATCATAAAGCTGCATGCTTTATAAGCTTATTCCCTCTCTATGTATGAAAACCTTGTTGGAGGATTAGTTTTGGTGTTTTCGGTTATGAAAGGCCCTGCATGCACGTAAAGTTTGTAACTTTACGTGAAATCTACAATAGGAGATAATGGATCTAAAGTTTGGGACCTTAAGTCCCACTGGAAAGGACCGTAATCATGATGAACTTTGGGGGACTCGACGAGTCGAGAGGCTTTTCTCGTTTACGGCCAAGGGTGTACGACCAAGGGTGTTCGACCAAGGGTTTACGGTCAAAGGTGTACGGTTGGTGGTTTACGGCCGTAAACACCAAGGAACTCGACGAGTCCCTCGGGTGACTCGGCGAGTCGACGAGTTAAGCAGGGAACCCGACGAGTGAATGATTGTACTCGACGAGTCAAGGTCAATATGGATTGTTGACCTTGACTATAGACTTTGATTTTGACCAGGGTTGACCCTGGGGGTATTTATGGGACTATGCTGAGATATTTACTCATTGATTATAAACAGTTTGGGAAGAGCAGCATAGACATACCTGAATCCAGTTTGCCAGTTCAGCCTTTGAGAGGTGAGTCTTCTCACCATACCAACGGGTCTAAGGCACCAAGGCCGGCCCATTTTGCGATAGTTGGTTTACTTGTTATGTAGAGGTGTGATATGTATTTGTGCATCATATGTGGTAGAGATAGCCTTTGTGGCTAATGGTAGAGATAGATGTATGGCTAATGGTAGAGACGACCTTATGACCAATGGTAGAGACAACCTTTATGGCTGATGGTAGAGATAGCCGTTGTGGCTAACGGTAGAGATAACTTCATGGCTAATTGACATGTGATATGTGGTAGAGGTAGCTTTATAACTAATATGATATGTGGTTTGTGTGGGGTATGCTCTGGGGGACTCACTAAGCTTTCAGCTTACCGTTTGTGGATTTGTTTCAGGTACATCGGAGTCCAAGGGTAAAGGCAAGGCGTGATGATGCGGCGTACACTCTATCTCTCTTTTCCGATCTGACTTGGGGGACACTCTGATGTTTTGAAAATAATAATGTTGTAATGTTGATGGTTTTGTAAACGATTATTGGAATCTTTATGTTTTATGAAAATGGTTGACTAATTAAAAATGAAAAAATTTCTTTGCAAAAATTTGGGTCGTTACATTTCTATTTTTCAAATTGTATGTAAATTAGAAAAATGATTTTTACAGTTTTCCAAAGTTTTTTCTAAATTTTTAAGATGGAAAATGAAAACTCCACCGGTTCCAACTAAACACGTTTTTTAAAATTTTCATTAAAAACTAAAAATGAAAACTCAATTCTATTTTTTCGAAAAAAAAAAATCTAATCAATTAAAAACAGTTTTTCACAAACAAACACATAAAGTTCCCAAAACAACCAAAACCTCCCTACCAGAACACTCTAAATAACTTTAGATAAATTAATAAAATAAGTAAGACCTACAATTTTGTCACCAATTTATAAAATCGATCTAAAAATTCGTTGCTATTTTTTTCCATCTTATCCTTCCATGGTTTCTGCTGCAACCTTCAACTGGGTAGAGAAAGATGGTAGTTATTTTACGATTATGTTTTGTACTTTCTTTTTTAACTATTAAAAGAAAGATGTTCGGTTTTGGTGTTTCTTAATCATGCCTTAAATGCTTACGGAAAGTTTGATCATGTGCCAAGATTGTTGAAGTAGCGCAGCAAATAAATCTACACTGTCATGGGTTGCAATCATTTTAATGTTTTGTCTTTACGCAATGATGAAAATGTAAAAATATATAAAGATGTTTATATTATATTCATTTTGATTTAATGTTATGTCTTTACGCAATGATAAAAATGTAAAAAATATATAAATGATGGCTTATATTATATTCATGATAGTGTGGCAAATCAGATCATCATATTGTGTTTTTGTTTGATACAACACAACACGATATCATGTTTTTTTTTAAATAACACAAAAACGAATCGATTAAAAAACGTTAGACACGACACGACAAAAATAACATAAAATAACAATTAGTTTATTTAATTAATACTTAATTAATCATATATAATACGAAAAACACGATAAAAAATTGCTAAATTGTGTCAATTTCGTATCGAATTTTGAACACGAACACAACAAGACACGTCGTCGTATTTTATACACTTGACACAAACACGACACAAATACAAATTAAAATTTTAATTTCGTCCAATTTCGTTAATGCCATGTTTTTTATCCTATAGTGTCATTATGATGACCTTTATTCATGATATACATAATAATAATCACATTCTTTGCTCTCATGATATAAGGATCTACATGAATACTTTGTCACCTTTACAATTATTTTGTATAACACACTCTTTGCTCTTATGATATTAGGATCCACATCATTAATGAATACTTTGCCATTTTAATGATAAAAATATATGTGTAAAGATTTATCATGGTTGTCGTACCTATAATAATTTATCATTTTAACATAATTCTAAGTAATTACTAATTAGATAATTCAAAACAATAAATACTTATAAACTGGTGTACTTAACTTCTATCAAGTTATTGTTCTTGTTCTGTAAAACCTAAAATTTTCGTACAACAGGTTTTTCATATTTTCCAACTTATATTTTAATTTTATAGTTTTTTTGGTCAATTTGGTTATATATATATATATATATATATATATATATATATATATATATATATATATATATATGTGTGTGTGTGTGTAGCATTTTTAGCATTAAGTATAGCATTAAGTATGGTAAGGATTCCTGGTTATTCTAGGTGAATAACTTGAAATCCTTAATTGGTTCTAATCGTACGTTCTAAAGTTGATATGCATCAAATTCTCATATAGTTTCAGTATTCCGTCACTATGGACGCTATAAAATAACAGAAAATCAATGCAAAGACCCATATTGAGTCATAAGATCCATAAATAAATTGTTATAAGATGTGACTTTAGTCATATCCATTTCAACAAATGATAATACATGTAGAAGTCTTCTAATAGAGAATCGAGAATCTAGATAGAAGAATACTAGAATAGATTAAAGAAAAGAAAACAGTCTAACAGTAACAGAATACAAAAGTGAAACACATACCAACAAGGATTTGAATCGAGAATCAAGATAGAAGTCAAAATAATAGAAGATGAAAGTGTATTGTGTTGGACTCGTTCACTAAGGAGATCGGAAACGGATGACATAAATATGTCGTAGAAATCAAAATCGGTAAAAGAATGTAGTGTCGTTTTAGTTTCATGAGTGCAACGATCATTGATTTATTCTTCTGCTTAATTCATTTTGTGGTTATCGGATTGGATTTTTTAATGGACTAAACTTTTGGACTTTGAAAAATATGGGGCCCCTTAGAATTGGGGGGCCCTAAGCCCTAGCTTCAAAAAACTCTACATAGAGCCGACCCTACGTTTTGTTTAAACCAAACGTTGAAAACTTGTAGTGTCAAACGAGACTTTTTGTTCAAAACGGAGGGTTTTGTCAAACGCTAGAAGCTAGAAGCTCTTAAATACTCTCAAACGATCCGTGCCGAACACACCCTTTGTTTCGGTTAATAACCAAAAAAGACTATTTACTGAATATTTTAAAATAATATCTTTATAGATTAATCATTTTGAATCCTAAATTGTGTTTTATACAAGTTTCTTTTATCTTTTTTTTTAGTTAAATAACAAATATGATATGATGTTTATAAATTTACAAAGACGTATTTGTCCAAAATAAAACACATGGAATCTTATTCGGTTTACCCAGTAAACAGAATCGCACAACCTAAACCGATTAAAGTAAACCATATTTGAGTTGGTTACGGTGAAATTAGAATTGTTATAAAACATATTAGAACCCCAATAGAATAAACCAAAATCCAATTAAACCCATCTAATAACACCCATATATTTTATGGGTTATATACTAGATATACACCACCTTTTGATCTCTCTTACAAATTTAAACATTTCATACATTATTTAGCACATTACTTCAAATTTTCTCCCAAAACACTTGGATGTGTATGAATTGTTATGCATCAAAGTTTATGATACCCACATATATAAGATCTCATTGTGTTTGGTCTTGAGACTCTTATATGACAAACTGTAGGAACTTTTGGTTGCTCTCAGTGTCAGTCTGATCAAACGAGTCGCTACCTAATAGCGTGAACCGACTAAATGAGCAAATGTGGAGAAACGTTTCACTCCATACTTACACCCGGAGGCAACTAGACGAAAGGGTTAACTAGTAAACCCTAAACGGATCCTTAAGATCTCAAGAAAGTTTGGTGATCACTTATCAATTATCATTCACACTCTTTTATCCCCTCTTTTTAACAGTAAATATTTGTTAATATTCCAGCATAACTTTGGCATTTTGGTGATTCGTCGAAATTATGTCGATGTAAAGTAATTAAAAATTGACAATACATATATTTGTGACTTTTGTAACAGTATTGAAATGGTAAAACTAAGTGGGCCCACATTTTGGCATGGCCTCACAAATCCAACGGCTCCGATTAACACTAACCAACATGACGCCCCCTAAATAAAATCACTTTTCCCTCTTTCAGTCTCCTCTGTTTTCCCAGCAATATGGCACCACTCTTCTTCTTCCTCCTCGCCATTTTCTCATTTGCAGGTTCATATCTCTCATACATTTGCATTACTGATCACCTTCATGGTAATCAGTCTTATATTTCTTACATGGGTTTTGATTTACATTTACAGATGGAGGTTCAATCGGTGTCAACTATGGTAGAATCGCTAATGATCTACCATCGCCTTCGAAGGTCGTTAAGCTCCTGAAATCTCAAGGAATCAATCGAGTTAAGGTCTACGACACTGACCCTGCTGTACTCAAGTCACTCGCCGGATCCGGCATTAAGGTCACGGTGGACCTCCCCAACGAGCTCCTCCGCGCCGCCGCTAGTAAACCGTCGTTTGCTTCCGGATGGGTGGAGCGAAATGTCGCTGCGTACCACCCACACACGCAAATCGAAGCCATCGCCGTCGGTAATGAAGTGTTCGTCGACCGGAAAAACACAACCGGGTTTCTCGTACCTGCCATGAAAAACCTCCATGAAGCTCTTGTTAAGTTTAATCTGCATTCCGATATCAAAATCTCGTCGCCGGTGGCATTGAGTGCTCTACAGAACTCATACCCTTCTTCATCCGGATCTTTCAGACCCGAACTCATTGAACCCGTTTTCAAACCCATGTTCGAACTTCTCCGTCAAACCGGGTCTTACCTTATGGTTAATGCTTACCCGTTTTTCGCATATGAATCGAACTCCGACGTAATCTCCCTCGACTACGCACTCTTCCGTGAAAACCCCGGCGTACCTGACACCGGCAACGGCTTACGTTACTTCAGCCTCTTCGACGCTCAAATCGACGCCGTGTTTGCCGCAATGTCAGCGATGAAGTTCGATGACATCCCGTTGGTTGTAACTGAGACGGGGTGGCCGTCGAAAGGTGACGACAACGAGATCGGAGCTAGCATGGAGAACGCCGCTGCTTACAATGGTAACCTAGTAAAACGCATTCTCACCGGCGGAGGTACACCTCTCCGGCCTAAAGCAGACCTCACCGTTTTCCTGTTTGCTTTATTTAACGAGAACAAGAAAGACGGACCTTCGTCGGAGAGGAACTACGGGTTGTTTTACCCGAACCGGGAAAAAGTTTACAATGTACCCTTCACGACGGAGGATTTGAAAGATTACAGAGACAAACAGTCGCCGGCCACCGGTGATATGGGTGGAGGTCAAGTGAGGGTGTCAGCTCCAAACAACGGGTCTAGGTCCGGGTCCGGATCCGGGTCGGGAAAAACTTGGTGTGTAGCAAGTGATGTGGGAAAAGATAGGCTGCAGACTGCCCTAGATTACGCTTGTGGAGAAGGTGGTGCTGATTGCCGTCCGATACAACCAGGTTCCACGTGTTACGATCCTAACACGTTAGAGGCTCACGCATCGTACGCTTTCAATAGCTACTATCAAAAGACTGGACGTGCTGCTGGTTCGTGTTATTTTGGTGGGGCCGCGCACACTGTATCCCAGCCACCTAGTACGTACTCTATTTTATCTCCGTAAACAATAGCTACATTTTATATTTGTAATATTGTAGATACAAAAAATATAACACTAGATTCTATTTAGGGTAATTAATAAAATAAGTAAAATTGAATATTATTTTGATAAATTATTAGATTTTACGACAATGATGAATTTCGAGAAAAGAAAAACCAAATTTTATAATATAAACATTTTGTTATATGATCCTGTTTTTTTGGTGGAAAATAATTTAGAAGGTAATGAACTTTTGTTTTTGTTTTTGTTTTCGTTTTTTTATTACTATAAACAAATTAGTTTCCTTATTTTTGCTCATTTATTGATTCACCCTTTTATTTTCCATTGCGATTAAAAGCACTATGGTCAACAATTTAACATTAATTTTTTATAATATCAAGAACATAGAGGACCGTGAATGTTTTTTGGAATTACTAGACTGGTGGTGATTGATGGTGGCCATCTCTGACAAAATGGTCGAGGGTACCTATTTTTATACATAAAGTACCACTAAGAAGATTCTTTTATATTATGGGTATATGAGTTTTTATAGAATTTCTCAATAACATGATATGAATATTCAGGGGTCAAAGTTGTAAAAGTGAAAATTACCAAGTTGTTTCTAAAATAAGCAAAGTACAAATCTTCAAGTATAAGTTACAAGTCTACATTGTAGTGTTGTGGAAGCCTGTCACCCTTATAAAAAGTTAAAGAAAATACAGTAAGAATTATGAAAGTGAAAAGTGGTCAAGATTTTGATATCAAATCTTTGAATAAGAAAATTATGACGTTAACAATTTATTTATTTTACTTAATATTGGAGAATTAATATTTTTTTGTTAATTTTGCAGAATTTGGGAAATGCGAGCTTCCAACTGGATACTGAAAAGGTGAAGTGGTTGGACAGATTGTTAGTATTGATTGTAGATTTTGTAGCTTCTCTTGTTAATTTAATTAATGTAATATGGATGGTGGTCTAATTAATTCATTTTGGAAATGGTCATTTCATTATTCATGTTTGACAATGGTTATATGTATTTTTATTTAATTTACTTATTTGGTGTGTTTTATCTCAAACATGTCGAATAATTTTAAAAATTAAGTAAAAAAAACATAGTCCAAAAGTTGCATCTTTCTTGGTTAATTTATTATTTATTATTTTTGTAACATCATTTTTCTGTTGATTTTATTGGATAAAATTTATATTAAGTATCATCTTTAATATATTACTATATTAGGCTTTTCATTTTGTTTCAAATTAATATATATATATATATATATATATATATATATATATATATATATATATATATAGCCTCTCATCTATTTTTGTATTTTTAAACATACAATATATTTTACAAATTAATATTATTTTACATAATTATTATATATATATATTAAAGTTACGAAGAAAATGAATAGTAAACTTATCATTTTTTGGCAGAATTGATCCCTGTGTTATTATTGGGTTTCAAAGTTAGGAATAATAAATTTGAATGTTTTTTGACAACTTTGCTTCTCATTCTTTAACCATTTTGACACTTTTGGTCCTTGAAACAAATATTTTTACACTTTTTAGGAACCTTTTAATATTTAAAGTTTGGCCACAAAACTTTAATGGTTTGACAACTTTGATCCATTTTCTAAAAAGTTGCAAATTCCTACCCTTTTAATTTTTTAGCCATTTTGACACTTCTGGTCTTTGCAGTCAAAACTTTTACATTTTTTCATAAAAACTGGATGTTTTTTGGCAACTTTGCTCCTCATTCTTTAACCATTTTGACACTTTTGGTCCTTACAATCAATATTTTTACACTTTTTAGGAACCTTTTAATCTTTAAAGTTTGGCCACAAAACTTTAACGGTTTGACAACTTTGATCCATTTTCTAAAAAGTTGCTAATTCCTACCCCTTTAATTCTTTAGTCATTTTGACACTTCTGGTCCTTGCAGTCAAAACTTTTACATTTTTTCATAAAAACATGAAAAAAACGGTCCGGGGCAAAGTCCGGGCTTTTAATCCTTGCACTTTCTACGTCTGTCATATTTATCGATTCGCAAACAACATTGAAAGCTTCTGGTCCCCGCGTAGCGGGGGTAACCTTTCTAATGATAATTATTTAAGAAAATATATACATGTTACTTTAGTATAAACTAAAATATTAATAAATGCATGAGCAAAATATATCAAATGAATAAACGCATTAACCACGAAGCTTTTTTAATGGCCGAAAGTAACCTAAAAATATACACATATCGATGGTAAAAGTCTTTCAAAGATGTTATTCAAATAGTATAAAATTTATAAAAATGTTACTATCGAAGATGCCTTTACTACTGAAAAATATCAATAATTATTTATACTATAGTTTTTGTATTAATATTCAATGCTTCAACTTGTTTTAACAAGTTATTTAACTTGAACCCCTATCTAATCTCCTTAACCCTTTCACTTTGTGAAAAATTATATCCGTAATATCATATCAAATCAAATTTGTGTTGCATTGTATGTTATCTAAAACAATTAAAAAGTATTTATAAATATTTAAAACATGAAACATTGGATTCCATGGCCTTTAAAATGGGGAAAACATTTATTCGAAAAGGTTTGAATGTGGGTGATACCTAGAAAAAGAGTCGAATAAAAGTTGGTCCCATAACTATTAAACTTTAGGCAAATAAAGTGTTGTTAGCACTAAAGCTTGTAAGAGGGCTTGAAATGGTCAACTTGCATGTACTTTGCACTCCTACCACTACCAAAGTTAAGATGAATGGATAAATTTGAAATAGGTTGTCTGTTGTGTGGATTGGATTTACTGCTCAATACTTTTTTCTAGTTTACAAATTTACAAACAATTAATATAGTATATATTATTACAAAAAGTTGACTGATAATGTGTTTTTCTAAATCAATAAAAGGTTGAGATTTTTTTTAATCGCCCACCACGGGACTTAACCTACGATAACTTAAAGTGGGGCTTAAGATTTAAGCAATTTATATGAAGTTAAACTAAGTTTGTGATCTTGTCAACGAGTGATCTACATTCCAACAATGCAACCATATGTGACGAGGTTAGACCTGAAAAACGTGTCGGGTCGTATCATACCAGGTCGAAACATAACGTGTTGAAAGAGCTTGACCCTAACATAAACCTTTTATTTATTGTGTCGTGTTAACCTGTTTATTTCTGTGTCAGGTTTCTGGTTAAGATTTAGACATTATGAACATGAGTCATGATGGCTTGAAACACTAAACAAGTTGAAAGAGTAAGATTTAGAGAGACGGAAGGGTGAAACTTATAGTAAGTTCAAAGGAAGAAGTGGAAAGATTAGGAGTTAGGAAGGCAAATAGGGGAGGAGGACGAGGGAGTGGCTAAGAGGGATTGTGGAGTATAAGATTGAAAGGAAAAATCTAAAGTGAAATCTTAACCCAGACGACTAAATTGTTTCCACATTATAAAAAGTAAACCCAAAAATTTTCTTTTACATATGATTTGGTTTTGGGTTTCTCCAATATATCTAAAAGAAACTTGCGTATTATAAACATATCATTTTTTAGTTGAAAATTTCAAACATAACCTTAATCATTTTTTTTATATCGTGTCATATCCTATTTAATTAAATAGGTTAAAATTTCTTATCCAAATACGTTTATTTCATGTTAGGTTAGCACATAACTTCAATTTTTGCAACTTCTAAGACGAAATATGATGATTATGCGAAATATTTAATGACTAATAATATAAAAGTTACTATAGTGGCGTAATATATGGTTTATTTTTTGTTATTCAAAACCACTTATACTTTCAAAAACTACATTGCCACGCTATTACATCTTGTTGGTTTTGACGGTTTTTGTTCTAAAAAACCACATAACTTTTTACAAAAAAGAAAAGAAAATTCACCATGATCACTATCCATCTTTTGGTTTTGTTTAAATTTTGTTGGAATTTATTGTTTATTGAAAAAAATAAATATATTAAATTTTATAATTTTTTATTCTCCATAAACAATCATCAATATCAATTGAAGCAAATATTGAAATGTTTACAATAAACGATAAAAGTGTATATAACAAATTATTTACATGTAAAATTGTGAATTTCGGCTTACTAAGTGTGTCTTTTGGGCCACATGTTGAGTAAAAGTATCCAAACGGATCCATCAAATGTTGAATCTTAACGGCCGTAGGAGCTTGAAATTATGAAATATGTTCTTTTGAGCGAAATGAAATTTTTGATAAAAAATAAGCTTTAAAAAAATAAAAATGGATAATAGTGACGATGAAATTATATCAAAATACAAAAGATTTTTTTAGAACAAAAAAACTTGCAAAAACAAAAGCAACAAATGGTTATGATGATTTTTTTGAAAGTATAAGTCGTTTAGAACATTTTTTAGTTAAACCTTACACTTGTCAAACTACAGTAACTTTTTATGTTATTAGGTAACGTTTATGTTATTAGCCCATTATACTCCCTCCGTTCCAATATTATTGTCCACAGACAAAAAACACACATATTAAGAAAAACATTAATTACCACTAACTTTATTTAATAAAATGACAGTTTTGTCTTTACTTTGCATTTAATGTTCCATTAAATGCTTAGTTGGTTAAGAAAATAATGAGGGGTATTTTAGTAAAAATGTTATTTATTTTTAGAAGTGGACTGTTATTTTGGAACAAACCAAAAAGAAAAGATGGACTATAATTTTGGGACGGAGGGAGTAGATAATATTTAATTAAATATTGTATATATGTTTGTACGATTGTGTTGCTTCAAAATAATATTTAACTAAAAATCATGGATATATCAAATTATCCATGGAAGTTTATTTTAAAATGAAAATTGCCTATCTTTACCATTTTATATTTTAGTATATGTTTAACATTTTAATTATAATAATAAATGTTTTTTATTTTTTATTTTTTATTTTTTTTCGGTTTAGTTTCCTGTTTGCACAATAACCCAATTTCGATTTCACCTTATTCGCCGTGTGTATTTATACAAGATGATTGGACATTAATAATAAGTTAACAACCAAGATGTCTAATGATAAAAATAGTGGTAGTGTCCACTACACCCCTTTATTTTGAGTTGTATGTAGACGAATGCTCAAATTATTACTATATACGTTGATGTTGAACAAAATGTGGGATAGATAGTTAGCAATGACATTGTCAATGATAAACTGATTGTGGTCTTTATGACATTAGCAATAGGGGCGGACACATGATTCCGTAATAGGCATTGTTGGTCCGTAGCAGGTGTTGCCAATTGCACATTTTATAGTAGAAAAAAGAAAAAAAATCAAAATTTTTGCACTGCATCTAGAAAAACCAGGTATTTTCGGTGCCACTTCTGGCACCATGGTAGATCCACCCGTGATTAGCAACCCCTAGGAATGATAGAAAGAGAGAAAGAATGAGAAAGGAAGAAGAAAGTTGGAGAATTAAACATGTTGCAACGTGAATGGAAGAAAATACCCTCATCGTGCAAGGCATGTCGGGCTTTCTAACTGCAAAATGGACTGAATGTTAACTTAGGGACCAAACACGAAACAAATATCAAAGGTATGGATTATCTGAGTTAAAAAAAGTTAGGGGTCAAGAGTGAAAATAACGCCAAACTACAAGGACCATCCGAGTAATTTTCTCTAATATTAATCTTTCTAGATTAACTCAAAGCACCTAAGTTCAACTCAAAGCACTATGTAAACATCTATGTTAAACGATGATATAGTAAAAGGTAAGAATTAACATCATACTTCTAGGAAATTAAGTAATCTAACATATGAGCTTTAAAAAATAATCATTTTTTTGAAAAATAATCATATTTTCAGGATATCTAATTCCGAACTACTATTTATATACCAGATTTTTTTTTTCAAAGAATGCTCCATTCGGAATTTAATCTTCAAATTCCAAAGTTAATTTTGGTTATTTTCAACTTTATTTTTTGAAAAAAGATCATTATATCTAAAATGTTCATTTTGAAGTTTTTAATGTCACTGTTTCAATAAAATGAC